GTGCAAACGGCATCTTGCGACCAATAAGCAGCATTGTTTATGTTTCAAAGTCGACAATGTCAAAATCTATCTTTGGAAAAAATAAACTGTAGGTAAGTAGGTACCTATTTACTTTTATTATCTTCTAATACGCTCCTGATTTTTCTAAATGTTATTCACCTGCATATACATACAATAAAATAAATAAATCAGTTTAAAATATAACCAAAAATATTTATTTTTAATCATTCCTCTTACTCCACTACTTTTTTGTACGCCACTGGTGGCTTTATTTTAAAAGATAAGAAATAAAAAATACACACCAAACGATAGGGAAAACTTTATTCTTAATTTTTCGTGTCTTCAATTTTTTTTTGTTTCCAAGCGGTTTTAATGATATTGATCAACACGTGCCTTTGTGACCCCCTACCACATTTGGTCTTGTGGAGCCTTACCTTGAGAACATAAAAAAAATAAGGTCATAGCTAACGTGAACATTTATTCGTGGACTCAAAACGGGACAAACGGGAATGGGGGACAATGTGTATTCCTTTCACACCTAGGAGGTTACATTATGCGCTTATTCCTTTCGAAAAGTGTTTGTTGCACCACACATCTCTTCCTTTCAAATCGGGGTCGACTAACACCGGACCGAGTAGCTCGAGTGTTCCAAACTCTTGGAAGGAATACAACTATTGGGTAACACTTACATTTTGTGCGACACTTTTCGCATTTGACATCCGACGGAGTATTTCTTTGCTTGTAAACGGGTATTCAGCTTGTTAACTAACATTGAACATACACAAATATTTCGTGAGTATCAAACAACTGAAATAAATGAATTTAAAAAAAAAAAAAAGACAATAAACAAATTGCGCGGGAAGTGCGCTATCCGTAAGAGCCGAAATTATAGTCCCTTCTTGAGGTTTCCTCACACCATAAAGAGGCCTTGAACGTTTAGCATTGACATAACTAACTTGTCAAATAGTAGCAAGTGTGGATTCTTAACTCACGACCTTCAAGGAAGACCCATGATGCAGGCACGCAGGGGTGCGTTTGAGAACCAGGTGAACCGTTGACCGAACACTCTAGTCCTGGAGTGAAATTTGAGCATCTAACATTTAATATGATATGACACGGATGTTTTGTTTTTGTACGCAATTATTTTTTTTTTCGCGAGGTTTGGGAAAACGGGACAATTTTGCGTCCCACAGCGTTTCTCGGGGACACCAGGACAGAGAACCGAAATAAGAGACGGTCCCGTTGAAAACGGGACGTATGGTCACGTTAGTCATAGCCATTATGCAGAATTTTGTGCTCTATCGAATGGCACCAAAATGACGTTTCTAACTTTTACCGTTTTTGAGAAAAATAATAAAAACTAAAACAATTCACTTATCAAATTTGAGGGGGGGTCGACATGACTTTTTGAGATCCGTCTGTTCAAAAATCTACTAATTCTGACATGTTCTTTCACTTGTGAAAAGGATTTACTTTTACTAAAAAACCGAAGTATCAAGCTATTTTTGGGCGACAAGTCACTATACTATAATGCTTTATTTATCAAATATACCCGTAAAAATAGGAGCCGGTTGTCTCTCGGAGCCATGGTTTCGTAGGTTTGAATCGACGACGGTAAGAATACTTACTTACGCATCTATATTTAGGTGAAAATGGTCATTGGGATAAAAAGTTGCATTAAGTTAATGCGACTTACCCTGAGTGATTTGTCATGGAGGTTAGCTTCATTTCGGTAATGGAGCATTTTTGTTGTTATCTTAAGACAACGATCGCAAATTTTAACCGATATTTCGTCGTTTTCCAGTACCTGGAACAATAGAGAAATCTTACTTACACACATACCTCACTGATACACACTGGGCAGAACACTTGGGACACGATACAATTCCACTAGTCTCGCGTTTTATAAGTAATGCAACGGCTTATAGTAGTAGGCCTTCAAAACTCACGAGTCATAACTATAAATTTATAACTTGCGGGCCATGACCAAAGATTTTTTCAAGTAAAGTGGCTCACACGTTCATCCAGTGTGTATCATTTTTGAAAAATTATAAAGTTACCTTTATACTAGGATGCAGTTTATATTTGTAGTCCCAAATTTTATGTGTCAAAGACTGTAATGTAGATTGAAGTAGGAAAGATAGATTGTCTTCCAAAAGATATTTATTCTGGCATCTCAAATGTAGAAATAAGACTGCTCCCAATTTTTTGTAGAGACAGTAACAGATCATGTATGACTAACAGTTCGATAGACTTAAAATCCATATTATAGCTCTTGTGGCTAGGGAAATTTTGTATTGAAAGTTCAAATTTAGTGATGTAGTAAATCCCTACTTTCCCATTCAAATGTGCCGCCAAAGACAACCTAGCGGGAAATTGGGGAGTTACTGAAATGTTATTGGCAACAGTGGGTAGGATAATTATGAACTGTGATTGTCAAGAGAGAGGTTTAGGTTATGTTCTTTAAGTTTTGTGAGAGACGCACCAAGTTAAGCGCTATAATTGAAAACGGCCATGTTTTCAAATAAAATAAAAAAAAACAAGTAAATGGATGTGTCTAATTTAATTGCTCTATGAGACCGCTCGCAATAGAACCCTCCTTAGTTTTTCAGAAGTGGGATAATTCCAAAAAGTGCTGATCAACAGAGATAGCCTCAATGTTAATAGATTCGTTTTTGCGACGTTTTTAGTGTGCATGCTGGTATTTTGGGCAGAGGTATGGGACACCGACGGCAGTCTTGGATAATTTCGATGCAACAGAATTTGAGAGTTTATCGAGGAATTTTTATCACATTGAAATGCTACCACTACAAATCCTTTCGGTTACGGTTTTGCTACTAAGCTCAGTTCCTGGGGTACACGCTGCTACTTTATATTATGGTTCTTTTAAAGTAACTGTTATCGAACCGATACTCCGATACCATTTATTGAAACTGTAAACACCCAAAGTCAAAGTACCATCTGGGTAGTTACTGGAACTGGGCAGTATTATTTTATTATTACTCTATAGTGACAAAACTATATCGTATTAGTGAAATCGGTTGCTGCCACCCACCAGTGCCACTAATATGCCTAAATAATGTAAATGGATACATAGAGAGGCGAGAAAGTCACAGAATAGTTCCAGTGACCATCACTTGAATTTTTAAAGTATCGTGGCATTTTTGTGGCAACATGGGTAGCGAAATAGTTCCTCTTGGTACTTTACAGTTTTTACCACTATTGAAGTAGAGGACCTAGCTTTATGTACCTTTGTTAAAATCGGCCATTAATTGTAGTAGTAACCAAAATTTTTAGAAAAAAAAAATGGTTTTATTCAAAAATAGACAATAGTTATCGTAATATCTTAAACTATTACAAAAAAGTTTCCGTAATAAATATTCAAATTTTTTAATTACGCCTTTTTAAATTGTTTTATCAAAAAATTACAAAAAAAGCTTATTTTGAGGGCGCGTTGAAATTTTATCATTCAATATGTCAGCTTATATCAAAAAAGTAAATTGCGCTTGAAAAAATGGAAAAAGAAGTACATTGAACACGCGCCTAAAGTAAACATATTTTTAGTATAATAGATCAGTGCTCCATTATTAAAAGAAAAAGAAAAGAGAATAAAGAGAGCGCAAGATATTAACTGGATAAAAAGTGATAGTGACAGGTGGCGGTTACTAGGCAATCACTTAGCGGTTACTGGGCGGTCTAGTCGCGGAATAGTACTCGCTACTACCCCGATCATTGACCTCTAACCTAGGATAGACACCACAAGTCATTCATAAAATTACTCCGCCAGCAATCAGGAAGGAGATCTTGGGAAAAATTATTTAACTTGTTTTGGCAACATCGCTTTCGAGCGACCTTGCTATATACTCTATAACCAAGCTGAAAATAACATTATTGACTCGGCAACCACGCTAATATTCGTTACCGAAAATGAATGAAAAATGTGTATGTACGATACTCCGACAGCGTAGCCGGTTTGATTTGTAGAGTGGCTTCTTCGAGGATGGTTACTGTGTTCGCACTGATTTTCCTAAGTTTCTCTGAATATTGGAATTCGAAAAAAGACAATATAATCAGAGAAAATAGTTTCTCGGTCATTTCATGTGTTAGATATTCAAACTTGTTCAGAAAATCATACGAACTGTGATCACAATTTTAATGCATTGATTATGTTCATGAATTATTTGATGCAGCAGAATGCCACAATTATGCAAATGTTAGTTAAAAACAGTACAACAAACTTATATTGCACCTCCAGTACAAATTTAATGTATACACTTGGACCTGATTTTTTAAGACCATACCCACCTATTTTTATGCTGCACAATTAGCCACTATAGAAGAGCAAGTTTATTAACGTTGGACAAGTTTAGAAATGTATTTAGTAATATATTTGTTTACGAGAAAATTTTTATATCTGTATGGAAAGCCATGAATTGAAGAATACAAGGACCTAGAGAAGATTTGAGTAAATACTTTCATGAATCATGATAAGGTGAAATTATGCAAAAAATTAGAATAAGTCGAAAAATTTTGTACTGGTGTAAATGTATTTACAAATTATACTTAGCACTTACAACCTAACAACGGGTCATCTTCAGGGTCGGTTCTACGAGTAGAAAAAAATACAACGGGTATAAAAACGAAACAGTTACCAAAGGGCAAACTTACTCGTCAAATTAGTCATACAGAGGGTAAGCAAAATATAGATAACCTAGGTTCCAACACTGCATTTACCTACATGAATTCAAGAACTGAGTGAGATGGATCCATTTATATATAAAAGAAAGTCGGGTTTGTTACAGAACTTATAACTTGTAACATTCCAAATGTTACAACATAATGTTTAAAAAATCAATAATTATTGATTATTGATAAATCAATAAAAATTAACAATTTTTGTTTGGTAACACTATTACAACATATCAGTTTGAATAGAACTATCTGTCGCTTTTGGGCCATTTTATAAAAACGGTGAATTCAACTTTTCATTTCTTTATTAATTAAAATACAATGCACGATAATTATTTGGTTTCTTGTAAAATAAATATACTTTCTTCCTCTGCTATGACGTCATGAAAACAGTCTTGTAGGTATGTAGGCATCCCGGCATGTCGATATGTGTATTCCTGGTTGCTCCTAAAAAGTAAATGAAATGGAATTTTCTAAGTGAATAATTTTTGAATTTTTCTGTTAGATATCTTAAATATAGTACTATGGTTAATTGTCTAAAAGCTAACCTCCCCTAATTACCTCAAAATATTCCTCAATATCCATTAGAATTGTATCTGCAGGCCTTGAAAGTTCAGGACACACCAATTGCCATTTACATTTTCTGGATATTTCCAAACCGTTTTTCCTTGATTTTCCATTGCAACTATAATCTCCTATCTTCAAGCATCATGCATTTTGATAATCAAATACATTCGTTGGTTCCTAACAATTTTATAGCTGAAACAAAAACAAGAAATTTAGTCAATAATGTTTACATCTTCAAATAACATTCAATTATCACTTACCTTTAATAAATTTCGAATAATTTTTAGCCTGATGCACCCTATTGTTTGCTTTAATTCATTAGCTACACATTTCCAAACTCCTGACACTAATTTTCTTGCGAAATTTGAGCGTTTTCTCTCCATCTGTTATTTATGAAAATCCGAAGATTTTGAATTATTGCACATGCGCATTAGCCTTGGAATTCAACCTTGCTATCTTTGTTTAGTGAATGAAAAATGACAATGACCGACATAGTCTGGTGGATCCATCGGTAAAATTTGATGAGAATAAAAACGCAAGGTTATTTGGTGATTTGACAAATGTCAAAGTTAAATCCGAGGTTAAACCAGTAAAGGTAAAATGAAGGTAGACAACTACCTATAAACGGAAATAATTGAAAAAACGTTCTTATTTTCCGCTTTGTAGATAAAACGTTGTACATCACACGTGCGTTTAAACATGACTACAAAACTCGTGTGATCACACTCGTTATTGTACGTAATCATGTTCATAAACGCACTTGTAATGTAAATAACTATTTTATGGACCAATACGCCTAGACGCTTGTGGGTCATTTCAGTTGAAAAGACAAAATAATTGGAAATTCAGAAAAATTTGAATAACATAAAGAAGGGCAAGCATGTGTAACAGTTAAGAAGTTGAAATACAAAATAATAGTAAGGCTAAGGGTCGCGGTATTTGCATTGATGTTTAACTGCAATCACTGAATAATTCCTATGTTCCGTTTCAATTGTAACCATAGAAATCAAAGCGATTAAAGTCATAATAAAGTTTATCATTGGTCACGTTCAGCCGAACTCAACATGTTGAGTGATTAGTCAGCGACTTTGTTGAAAACAGATGAAACTCAACTTTTGGCGAATCAAAACTGTTCTACGTCGTGTATTTCTCTCGGATCAAAGCCACTGACATTTTGAGCCCTGCTGAACGTGCCCATTGATGATTTGATGAATTTACCGGCGTTGCGTCAATGTAACAGACATTGGTAACAGACAATTTTTTGACAGTTCTAACAGCCAATAGACCTATCTATTTTTACCTGGTATGCGCGCGCAACACGAGGCAATGCCTTTTTATTGGCTAACTAGTACAGGTATAAGGTGTTTGTTTTGCACGCCGGGTATCTCCTTGTCCTTGTTCATTGCGCGTGGTCTGACAAGAATAAAAGTACGGTTGATATTAAACTTGACATAGCTTGACAAGTGACATTCAAAGGTTGTTTGAAATTTTCATTGACAAATACGTTGCACAAAAAGCGGCCTTTCTTCTTCCCTTTTAATCCCGTGCAAATAAGAAGGACAGATTGCTATACGTAAGTCTAATAAAAGTTGGTACGTTTTGCCTCATCTTGCGCAATGAGCGTTCTGTGTCTTTTTTTATCTAATGAAGTTTTCGTATTTTTACCTCTTTGTCTGGTAAAATAGATAGGTCTATTAAATTTTATTATTTTTTGTCATGTGAGACAAATCACCCAACCATTTCAACATTATACTTACTGAAAACAGCCCTATAGGGTTGTTTTCACTCTATGAAATTGCCTCAGAGATTGCTGTCAGAAAATTTCTATCTGAATAACACTCAAACATGATAAATGCTCAAAAATTTATAACAATTATTAATCTCCTTGGGTTATTAGGTACTAAGTACTGATAATATCCGAAATGAAAAGTTTTTTTTCTAGTTTGTTTTCATTTAGCCACACTGTTCCAGAAATTTGCAAGCCCCGATCCCGATGCAAACAAATTCCACAAGGAAAAAAATATTTACTTTTCAGTGTGTGCTTTCTTATTATCTAAGTATTTTTTTGAAATATAAATAGGTATTTATTTAAATGAAATGGAAGGTAAAATACAACTTATACAATTTAAAAATGTTATCAATACTTTAAAACCTTATCCTAGGAGAATTGCGGGGATATCGTGGCAGTCTCATAGAGACTTTAAAGAAATCCCGCAGTCTTGGGAGATTGCGAAGAAATCACTAGAATCATTTAAAGATTTCCTGGAAATCGCGGCAGTCACTTAGGGATTTCTTAGAAATCACCAAAAACGTTAAGTGATTGCGGGGAAATCGCCGAAATCTCTAAAAAATTACCGAACTCCCAGGATTGCCGCAATACATGTACATTTTTTTCGGAGTGAAACATCCCTCGGAACAGACCCTGTACAAACGGAAGGGGGTGATTATTTGGTTTATTTTATGACTAAATTTTTTTTTTTAATTTTCTTGTTTTTTTTTAACCTTCTTTTGGAATTTTATTTTTTGTTAATACCCTTATTAAGTTAGAATAAGAATATATTTAATCAAGACATAAAAATATTTGATAAATATTATGAAATAAAAAATATTTTCCAAAAATAGTAGTGGTGCGTTAATTTTGCTGGCCAGTGTAGGTACTTAGTTCCTGGAATTTTTGAGTGATGTAGCTCAAATTTGGAATATAGGTAACGCAATAGGAGCTAAATAATTGCACATGTACGTTTGCCAGATTCTACAGGGTGATGTTTTTTCAGGGGTCATGCCCCCTCTTCTGCCCCTGAACTTTTTTGCGGTGAGCCGCTGGTAGATTCTAAAGAACAAAATAATTTTTCTACCTTATTTAAAAACTATTTGTTCTCCTGTAGTTTTTTCGTATCACCGACCATTTTCGAGAAAAAAAATTAAAAAACAAATCTCTGTAATTAGCTAGATGAAACTACAGTGACTCAGTAAACCTTTTCTACCTACAGTGGTGTCAATAACCGGTGTGAAGTTAGCAGCCAAAACTAGGCAACCAATTTGACGGAAACCCCGCACGACCATTTGCGTAGCATTGTTTTTTAATTCAAAATAAATTCAATAAATCATACTTAGACATCGAGTCTAGCCATGAAATTTATGAAGCACTATTTTAACACCTTTTACAACCTCTATGCAAAATCCCATTGACTCAAACCCTGTCGAAATGTGAAAAACAACAAGTAAAAATGCATAAATATTGGGATTTTCGTATTTTTTTTCCAACTCGGACTTCGAGTCTTGCCATGAAAATGATAGGGTACTATTTCACCATCATCTCCAATCCCCATGCAAAATCCCATCAACTCAAACCCCGTCGAAATATGAAAAACTACCCTTAACAAATAAAAATTCATAAATATTGAAGATTTCGTATTTCTGTCCAACTCGGACTTCGAGTCTTGCCATGAAATTGATAGGGTACTATTTGATCATCATCTCCAATCCCCATAAAAAATCTCATTGACTCAGACTCCTTCGAAATATGAAAAACTACCCCTAACAAGTAAAAATGCATAAATATTGAGATTTTCGTATTTTTTTCCAACTAGGACTTCGAGTCTTGCCATGAAATTGATAGGGTACTATTTCATCATCATCTCCAGCCCCCATACAAAATCCCATTGACTCAGACTCCGTCGAAATATGGAAAACTACCCTTAACAAATAAAAATGCATAAACATTGAAATTTTCGTATTTTTTTCCAACTTGGACTTCGAGTCTTGCCATGAAATTAATAAGGTACTCTTTCAGCACCATCTCTAACCCCCATGCAAAAGCCCATTGACTCAAACTCCGTCGAAATATGAAAAACTACCCTTAACTAGTAATGCATAAATATTGATATTTTCGTATTTTTTTCCAACTTGGACTTCGAGTCTTGCTATGAAATTGATAGGGTACTGTTTCAACATCATCTCCAACCCCCATGCAAAATCCCATAACCTCAAACCCCGTAGAAATATGAAAAACTACCCTTAACAAGTGAAAATGCATAAATATTGATATTTTCGTATTTTTTTCCAACTCGGACTTCGAGTCTTGCCATGAAATTGATACGGTACTATTTTAACATCATCTCCAACCCCTATGCAAAATTCCGTCAATGAGATTTTGTATGGGGGTTGGAGATGGTGCTGAAAGAATATCCTATTAATTTCATGGCAAGACTCGAAGTCCGAGTTGGAAAAAAATACGAAAATCTCAATATTTATGCATTTCTATTTGTTAAGGGTATTTTTTCATATTTCGAGGGGGTTTAAGTAAATGGGATTTTGCATGAGGGTTGGAGATGGTGCTGAAAGAATACCCTATTAATTTCATGGAAAGACTCGAAGTCCGAGTTGGAAAAAAATACGAAAATCTCAATATTTATATGCATTTTTACTTGTTAAGGATAGTTTTTCATAATTCGAATGGGGTTTGAGTCAATGAGATTTTGCATAGGGGTTGGAGATGGTGCTGAAAGAGTATTCTATTAATTTCATGGCAAGACTCGAAGTCCGAGTTGGAAAAAAATATGAAAATCTCAATATTTATGCATTTTTACTTGTTAGGGGTAGTTTTTCATATTTCGACGGAGTCTAATGGGATTTTGCATGGGGGTTGGAGATGATGATGAAATATTACCCTATCAATTTCATGGCAAGACTCGAAGTCCGAGTTGGAAAAAAATACGAAAATCTCAATATTTATGCATTTTTACTTGTTAGGGGTAGTTTTTCATATTTCGACGGCATCTGAGTCAATGAGATTTTGTATGGGGATTGGAGATGATGATGAAATAGTACCTACCCTATCAATTTCATGGCAAGACTCGAAGTCCGAGTTGGAAAAAAATACGAAAATCTCAATATTTATATGCATTTTTACTTGTTAAGGGTAGTTCTTCATATTTCGACGGAGTCTGAGTCAATGAGATTTTGTATGGGGGTTGGAGATGATGATGAAATAGTACCCTATCAATTTCATGGTAAGACTCGAAGTACGAGTTGGAAAAAAATACGAAAATCTCAATATTTATGCATTTTTACTTGTTAAGGGTAGTTTTTCATAATTCGACGGGGTTTGAGTCAATGAGATTTTGGATGGGGGTTGGAGATGGTGCTGAAAGAGTATCCTATTAATTTCATGGCAAGACTCGAAGTCCGAGTTGGAAAAAAATACGAAAATCTCAATATTTATGCATTTTTATTTGTTAGGGGTAGTTTTTCATATCTTGACGGAGTCTGAGTCAATGGGATTTTGTATGGGGGTTGGAGATGGTGCTGAAAGAGTATTCTATTAATTTCATGGCAAGACTCGAAGTCCGAGTTGGAGAAAAATACGAAAATCTCAATATTTATGCATTTCTATTTGTTGAGGGTAGTTTTTCATATTTCGACGGGGTTTGAGTAAATGGGATTCTTCATGGGGGTTGGAGATGGTGCTGAAAGAGTACCCTAATAATTTCATGGCAAGACTCGAAGTCCGAGTTGGAAAAAAATACGAAAATTTCAATATTTATGCATTTTTATTTGTTAAGGGTAGTTTTTCATATTTTGACGGGGTTTGAGTTGATGGAATTTTGCATGGGGATTGGAGATGCTGATGAAATAGTACCCTATCAATTTCATGGCAAGACTCGAAGTCCGAGTTGGAAAAAAATACGAAAATTTCAATATTTATGCATTTTTACTTGTTAAGGGTAGTTTTTCATATTTCGACAGGGTTTGAGTCAATGGGATTTTGCATAGAGGTTGTAAAAGGTGTTAAAATAGTGCTTTATGAATTTCATGGCTAGACTCGATGTCTAAGTATGATTTATTGAATTTACTTTGAATTAAAAAACAATGCTCCGCCAATGGTCGTTCGGGCGTTTCCGTCAAATTGGCTGCCAAGTTTTGGCTGCTAACTTCAAACCGGAGCGTTAGTAGAGGTCCCGCCGCCATATTTTTGCTCATTTTCAATAGGAATCTAGAAATAAGCCACTATACCTCGCCGCCATATTCTTGCTCATATTTTCAAAATGAATACATTAAAATTTGAACATCTTGTAGAGCGGTAACGAAGCGTAAAAAATCATTCCCCTTCCGTTTGTACATGATATTCAGGAACACCCTGTAATTATATGTCTCGGTATATGTTTAAATAGGAAAGGGCTATATTGGCCATTGGGATTCCGAAAAGTTAAAATTATTTTGACAGTTTCTTGGATTGCCTAATTTATAAAATATCAAATTTGGTATCCCAACAGGATATGGTAAATCTTTTCATTCAAATATTAGTAAAATTATTTATTGATACAGTGCCGACGCAGGGTTCTATGTTAGGGTAGGCCAGACTGGGCCAGAAAAATTTAGGGAAGTACTTGTCGCCACTAATATATTTGGGGGAATCCCAGGAAAGTGAAAGCCACATCGCGGTTGCCTGTGCCCAAGAACACTTAAATTAAACTAATAGGACCTATTACTTATTGAGCTGAAAATGTTTGCCATTTCAGCCGCAGACCTCAACACAAAAAGACAAATTCCTTAACGTTATATTCTTGTTAAAATCACCTTTTGTTCATTAAAGGTCAATTCTCACTTGCGCTTCACTCAGCTCTGCAACGCGACACGACGCAGCGATGCAAATTGTCGCTAGATAAATATTACATTGGTTTAAATGCGACGCATCGTAAAGTGTAGTGCAGTGTAGGTGGGAATCTATCCATTTAAACTTAAACCAATGAAATATTTATCTAGCAACAATTTTCATCGCGGCGTCGTGTCGCGTCACCAAGCTGAATGAAGCGCAAGTGAGAATTGACCTTTAAAATCGACGAAAAAATAAAGACAACTTGAATCGCAAGCATCCCATCCGCCACTGTATAGATAGGTACCTACTTATGTTAAATTCTTTTATAAATTGCACACTCAGCGACAGATAAGGAATGAAATAAAAATAAGAGATAGGACGCTAGGTTTTAGAAATTAAATTCTCGCATAAATTGCACACTCAGCGACAGATAAGGAATGAAATAAAAATAAGAGATAGGACATTGGGTTTAAGAAATAGAAATCAATCGTTTCTCCTCAAAATTTTCAATATTAAATGCAAAAGTTAGTCAACAAAAACAAGAAGAGGTTAGAAAAATATAATCAAAGGTAACAAACAATGATAAATGATAAATTTTACAAAAATTAATGGCCGACTTACCTCAATTCCAGTAGCAACCAAAATCGCTTTTTTTATGTAATTTCTGCTTCTGGCCGAAAGTCGTTCGTCAAAAACACTAACTAACTTGGCTTTGTCCACACCAAAAGGACAAAGCCTGCAAACTTCCCTTACATCCATTTAAAAAAAATAAAATAGCTCTGGGCCGCTTTAACTAAACTCGACACACAGACAACACAAAAACAACCTGTTTCGTTGCGAGACCTGAAGGGAAAGGCAGGAACTAATTTGACAGGTTATAGAATATAGAATTCGGTCGGCAAGCTCTAAGTCGTTACGAGGAGCCACGAAGTGCTACGACCGACGCGACGGGTCGAATAGGTATGCGCACGATTTATCGCTGTTTCAAAAACATCGATGTTTTTTTATTCGAACATATTTGCAATGCAAGAATCGTAAACTCTACAGGATTGCTCAATCGGCTTGTTCACAATTGCTGTGACGTCACGTGCATCCCGGATTTTCAAGATGGCCGCTGATACGAATGATGTTCAGTTTGTGCTGACAATTATTTTATCGTAAATTCGGATTTATCAAGTGTTATAAGTGTAATTTAAAGTTTCATTTAATGTGTGTAAGCATAAAAGACTCGTGGCTGAAAATACTCGCGAAAACCCCAAGCATTTTCTGGTTTTAGTGGTTTTATAATATGTACTGGATTTGTTGCATCAGGAGATCGCTTTCTTTTATTCGTGTGTATTGCTAGTTTTCTACTGTAGTATTTCCTAGTCCTAGTCAAGCATTTGTATTGCTTTTTTTTTGTAAATCAAATATCTACTCAGTTGTAAGTTTCCTTTGCATGTAATTACTAAAAATTTGTGTTTGTGAAGAGTGAATAAATAAATATGTAAATAAATTCCTTTACTGGCGCGTTTACTATGAAAACGCATGGAAAATATGGGAAACTTGCAGTGTTTTTCTGGAATATGATTATGAAAATCTAAAATAGGAAATAGGTATCACTATTTGGCTTTGTGAAATAAGCTTACTTTAAATGTCCATATTAAATTGCTATTAAACTATTGAATAATAATTGAGAAGTAGGTAGGGGCAGTAAAAAATAAAACACACCATTGCAACCACGTTTCGCTTATATTTTGATATTGAAATGCAAAAATTAAACCGGCTCGCTCAAGTTGGCACCCCACATTTGGTTTTCTACTGTTTCTCAACTGTAGTCAATTATGCCCGTTTTGTGCTCAATTGTGCCAGTATTTATGCGAATTGTGCTCATTTCCATACACAAAAAAAAACATTGAAACAAATCCGGGGGCCAGCTTGACTCCAGCCCTTTGTTTTTTTGACTTTTTGGCAATATGTTTGGCTAATTGATAAACAAAAGCAAACAAACTCGTCTTTCTAATTAGCCAACCACTCAAGCCTCAAGGACACAAACTTTTGAAGTCTGCTAATTTTAAAATTAATAAATTAATTACAAAATACAGTTTTCAAAGGAAATAACCTCAAAATAACAATTTTTCATGTTTGAAAATGCAAGGAAAGTGCACTGTCATAATAAAACACAAACCGATCAAGGACTGCGTGACGTCATTCGCATACCGCCATCTTCGATGTTTTTATGAACGTTTGTCTTATGGGATTGAGCAATCCTGTAGAGTTTAAGAGAGATTTTGAGCCACCTATTTGATCAACGTTATACGTTATCGGTTATTTTGCTCATGCGCAATAGTGAAAAAATAACCGGCCCGCTTAATAAGCGGTAACGTACTACGCTAATTATGTGGAAATAAACGGAAAGTTATTAACCCATAACGTTTCAGCATTTCGACGTCTTATTATATTTTCAATGTTATTCATGAAGTGCAGTACATAATTACACAAAACAAAACACAAATAAATACCCAACCATCCTAACATAAACAACAGACAACATAAAATTTGACGCTAGTTACACAAATTCAAATTCCTAACCACAAATTTTCATTAACGTTTAGCGTATAACGTCCTACACAAGTTTTGGCTTCAAAAACTAAAAAAAGGCTAATGTCATCCGCTATTTTTCAAAGACTGCGCTTGCTCAGTTTATCGTTTAGCGTGTGTAACGTATTTCAAAATTTATGTGGCTCAAAATCTCTCTAATCGATCAAAGAATTAGGCATTCCAGGTCACGTGACTTTTGACAGGTCCGCCATATTAGCTGAGGGGCAAACAAAGTCTATAGATCATATTGTTTACAGTGTTTTTTGAGTTTGTGCTTCGGAATTTTTGCGTTTTTTGATTTGTTCAATAAGTTTTAAGTTGTTTTTAGTTTTTGTGAATGAATGGAATAAATGAATGAATCTTTATTTACAGACATGCCACTTTACATTTCAACTCAACAATAGTAAACAAACAATTTATTAACAAAAATAATGCTTAAGAATATAAATTGTTTAAAAAATAAAAAAGATTGATACTAAGTAACAACCTCACAAATAAACTTTAGCAAAATAAATTTGTGGTAGAATGACTCCTTAAACGTTTTGACTGTTCTGATCGGTGCACAGATCTGGCATGTAGCTTAGCTTACTGGCTTGTTCATTCTGGGCTTTTATCTATTATCGTAGTATATCCTAAATTTGTACTGGGGACCCATCCGGAATGTTTGTATCCTTAAATTCTGCTGGAATACCTAAAAGGTATTAAAAGTTACCTACTTGTAGAAACATAAACAACTTTTTTGATATACCGAGATGAAGTGTTTTTGTATTTTAACAACAAAACATGCAGTCATAAAACTTACGAACATGTTTCGAACAAATTCGAGCATTTTCAACAACGTTACAGTCAAATTTCACCTTTTGAGGCATCTAATTCCCATACTCCGTTGTTTTTTTGATAGCTCGTTTATGCGATCCCCTCGATCTTTAAATGCTGCTGGAATCCTAAAAAACCTCACTTAATCCCTTTCAGCTCTATTAGGCAATCCAACGACCTGTCCAAATGGCGTCTAGTTGGCAAACAATAAACAAAAAACATATGTTTTTATTTTGACGGGATTAAGCCTAGTATAGTCTGGCAAGTGGTAACTTGGTAGAGACGAAAGGGGGAAGAAAAAAGGGGCGTAGCCTAAAAATATTCAATGACACCTCAACCATACCTCAACTGACACCGCCTGATGACAGCCATGTCTTTGGGTTCAGTGGCACCGAAAACACCAGGGAAATAAACTAATAAAATTATTAGAAAAAAATTCTCTAGTTTCGCCAATAACCACGACACTGTGTGCTGTCGTTCAGACTCTAACCAATAGAATCATGCCTCTGAATAATCACGCCTCTCTACATCCATTATTTCGCAATGTTGCCGGATTTTTTTCTATTTCAAAATACTACCTATGCCCATATAGCAAAAAAAAATGTCACTAACTTGTTTATTATTGTTTCCGTCAAGTTTGGCAAAGCAGGAAATTCTATTGGAGTTCGCCGTTTCGCTAGCCAGACAATACTCATAACCGCGAAATTCGTTTTTTTTTTTTGACGTTTGATTCACACATAAAACGTCAAATTGTCGAAGCAATGTCAAAAAACAGCGAATTTCGCTGTTATGAGTACTAGGCTTTATCAATACTGACATCGTTGACATTGTAACAACCCGTATTCTAACCTCATAAAAATTTCAAAATGCCGGCTGGTTGGCAAAAGTCACGTGGTTTGGATTCCCTAATTGGAGCACCCAAAAACGCCACAAAACGAAGGCATCTTCACAAAATAAATAGTTCAAAAATTCTCGGTTTGCATTGAAAATAACACTAAATCAGGTTATGTTTGGCTTGTGTCTGCCCCTCAGCTAAAATGGCGGATCGGTTATGACGTCAACCTGGAATGCCTAATTGAAAATAACACTGAATCAGGTTAATTATGTTTGGCTTGTGACTGCCCCTCAGCTAAAATGGCGGATCGGTTATGACGTCAACCTGGAATGCCTAATGTTTAGGCCAAACTTAACCAAATTCTGATGTGCGTTTCTTTTGCACCTACAAAACGTTTCACGAAAATGGGCCTATGTGCGCATGTACATGGGGTGCTGTTGCGATCGCTATTTTGCTCAAAGAGCAGAGTGTGCTGAGCGGAGCCGTAATCACGTGACTAGCGATCGCACAGAGCAGTTAAACGCCATATGAGAGCGCTTGAAATTTTAATAAACGAACGTTAATGAATGAGCCTGCACCGAGCACACTTCTTAAATAAACGAACGGTTGGCTTTTTGTGCGACAAAGCCAAGCTTTTCCACTAAGCCAGGCTTTATGAACTACGGAGAATATGGCCCTGATTCAAGCTCGGAAAACTCAGATCAAAATACCGAACGCACGGTATAATATGTTACGGGCAATGTAAATAATTGTGCATTAAGATAATGCCCGGGTGATATAAAAAGCGTCCAAAGAGATATGATAAAATGATGAATTAAGCCGACCTAATTCTACTGTGCCAGTCCGCCACTGGTGGGAAAGGGCACACGTTCGACGCTACTTAGGAAGGAATGTCTGTTAAATGCTAATGTTACGTAGAATGTTAATCGTCATTTAATTGATTCTCATCTAGAGGGGCTTTCCCAGGGTGGCGGTACTTGCACTAGATGACGATACAGTTTCCCAGAGGGGTTTCCCAGTGTATAATGTTTTGCCTATACCTATTTACTATTTACAAGCCATTAACCCTTTTCACGTGGCTCCGGTTTAACAAACCGCAACATACCGCTCAAATTCGAGTGGTAGGTATCCATCACGTCACTTTGTAACCGGGTTAGAAAACGGTATGTCATTTCTCTAACCGTTTTGTAACCCGGTTAGTTAAACCGGAGCCACGTGAAAAGAACTAACGCATTCATCGCTCGGTGAAATGTTATTTCACGCATTTTTTGTTTATCTATCACTAGCGATTTGGGGTTGGAAAGTAGTGGGGAAGAAACCCGTCTCGCTGCATTCTTTGCTCTCTTTGTAAAGGTCTTTTTTAAGTTCCAAGCGTGCTCTCAAAGGAGAAGTAAATCGATAAATACGTGGCGCACAATTTAGAAATTTAATAAAAATAAAAATAGTTTTAGTGTATTTGAATTGTTCTTCAGTTAATCGTATAGTTTAGAAGTGTCTCTTTTCGAAATAGCCAAATATCTGTATCCGG